TTCTGCACAAACTGTCAGAAACCGTCTCAGGGAAGCTCATCTGCATGCTCGTCGTGCAGGTGCATTTTATTGATGGCTTTTTGAATGCACAGAGATACCGTGACTGAGGCCCATTGTTGTGCCATTCATCCACGACCATCACCTCATGTTGTAGCATGATCATGCACGGCCCCTTGTTGCAAGGATCTGTACACAATTCCTGGAAGCTGAAAACATCCCAGTTCTTGCAAGGCCAGCATACTCACCGGACGTGTCACCCATTGAGCATGTTTGGGATGCTCTGGATTGGCGTATACGACAGCGTGTTCCAGTTCCTGCCATTATCCAGCAACTTCGCACAGCCATTGAAGAGGAGTGGACCAACATTCCACAGGCCACAATCAACAACCTGATCAACTCTATGCGAAGGAGATGTGTTGCACTGCGTGAGGCAAATGGTGGTCACACCAGATATTGACTGGTTTTCGGACCCCCCAATACAGTAAAACTGCACATTTTAGAGTGGCCTTTTATTGTGTCCAGCCTAAGGCACACCTGTGCAATAATCATGCTGTCTAATCAGCATCTTGATATGCCACACCTGTGAGGTGGATTGATTATCTCGGCAAAGGAGAAGTGCTCACTAACACAGATTTAGACAGATTTGTGAACAATATTTGAGAGAAATAGGCCTTTTGTGTACATAGAAAAAGTCTTAGATCTTTGAGTTCAGCTCATGAAAAATAGGGGCAAAAACAAAAGTGTTGCGTTTTATATTTTTGTTCAGTATATGATGACTGAGGGCTTTTAATTATGTCTGCTTGAATAAAATTTGCAATTCATCACGTCAATATGCTAAATTCTACATTAACAGCTTCAAGTCATTTGCCTGGAACAAGATATGCTGATTGCATTCGCTTGCAGGAATGGAAAATTAAAAGAGCTAATCAACATGACACATCTGACATCACACACGGGACAGAGGTCAGAACTTTAATCAAAACAGTAGGAGAGATGTGGGATCGGCATGAAGCCAGCCAATCAGACTGGATGTTGTTGTGTGTAATATATCTGTCATTACCTGGGGAAGCCGGAGCGCAGGTGAAGGCCGTCTACATTCTGGCTGATGAGGTATTTGAGGTGTCCTGTCCTCTGCAGCTGCAGCAGCGCCATGTGAGTCAGACTGGGGCGCACGTCCTCAAACGTGGTGTTAAAGTGAGGCATCTCGCCTCTCTCCTCCATCGTCCACACTCCATTAGGACCTCTGATATACACAGACATCACAGCACAAAGATCACAAACATGCTTTGGCTGAAATATAGTCCTCAGTTTCAGTCAGGAGTCTTTTTGGGTCATATCCTGAAAAATGTAATCTTCCTTGATCTTTTGAAATGTAGAGCTAGATGTACTATGAAAACATAGTGTCAGTTTCAAAACTCAAAACATAGGGGTGAAATAATCCATTTATGAAAGAAGCCAAACCATAAAAATATCTAGTTCTGAAATCTGTGCACAATAACATTAACATGCATATTTACATTGTACAAGTATGTTACCCTTTAAAAGTTTGCATCAAGTTTTTTTTGCAAAAGAATAATACTTGGATTCAGCAAGGTTGCATTAAATTGGTTAAAACTGACAGTAAATACATTTCAAATAAAGAATCCGGAGAATAAAATGCATCACAGTTTCCACAAGCAATATGAAGCAGCACAACTGTTTTCAACATTGATAATAAAAATCAGAAATGTTTCTTGAGCAGTAAATCAGCATACTGGAATGATTTCTGAAGGATCGTGTGACACTGAAGACTTTGGAGCTATGATGCTGAAAATTCAGCTTTGATCACAGGAATAAATTACATTTTAATATATACTGTATTTAAATAGAAAAATTGCAACACATGCAAAACATGCCTTGGCTGTGGCAACCTGAAGGAGACTATGGCAAAATTATCGCTTTCCTTACTCAAAGTGATTTTTTTAATGAATATATGATTGACCTGAAGAGTAAAAGCTTCATCATACATTTGGAAAGTTATGAGCTATATCATGCTCGTAGACACTAGTGGTGTGACATTAAACTTAGCTCACGAGATGAGACAAAATACAGATACTTGCTTTACTAGAACGAGACAGTATTTGAATACTATTTTAAAATAAATTTTCAATGACAAAATATTTGTCTTTAATCACAAAAAGCAAAACAATGTAGTTGTATTTTGAAACATTTAACTAATCTAGGGCTGTAACTAATGATTATCTTGGTAATCAAATAATCTACTGTTTATTATGAAAATTGAGTAATCAGATTTTTCAGTAATAAAATCGACCTAAGTGACAAACAGGCTTTATATTGACTACATTTATATATATATATATATATTAAACTAACGATAAGACAATAATAATTGGTTCAAATAAAGTATAAAGTATCAAAACCAAGTAATCATTATCAAATCATTTTATTAAAGAACACTGTTAAAAAAAAACAATGTAATATGCCTATACATAATATGAAAATAACCTATTTAAAGGGGTCATATGATGTTGCTAAAAAGAACATTATTTTGTGTATTTGGTGTAATGCAATGTATTTATGCGGTTTAAGGTTTAAAAAAACATTATTTTGCACATAATGTACATTATTGTTTCTCCTCTATGCCCCGCCTTTCTGAAACACGTCGATTTTTACAAAACTCATCGTTCTGAAAAGCGAGGTGTGCTCTGATTGGCCAGCTATCCAGTGCGTTGTGATTGGCTGAATACCTCTATACTGCTCAAAACTCGCATTTGAATCGTCAGTGGCAAATTCTTTAAATACGTACTTACAGGCTGTGAGTCAGAAGCGCCAGACTGTCCTTGCAAAGATGGAACTGCCCCACTTTATAGAAACAGACACCGGCATTGTAGGCTACTCTCTCAGGAAACAGGCCTCATCCTCCGCAATATGCGCTGCACACATCTGAATATTTGGGTTGTACTGTTCTGGAACAGTGTTGTAAATACAACTTAACCACTGATTTCTAGTCGTGTCCTCTTTTGGAAGACCAAAAAAGGAGTTTCGCTTTCACAACGAAACACACAGTGTCACGCATGGCGGGCTAGAGTGAGTGGTGGCCGGCGGATTCGACGAAAGAGTGGCCAGCGGGCTTGTGGCAACCACATGTGACGACCCCGGGCTGGACTCCGCTTCGTCCACGGTGAAAGCCGATCCGGCGATCTACAGCGAGAAGTTGATGTATTTCCTCAGCGATCAGCACGACGAAGCGGATATCGTCCTCTTTTGGAAGGCCAAACATATTAGTTTTACAACGAAACACACAGAGTCTCCACGACATGGCGGCAGCAACAACAATACTACAGCGAGAATAAAAGTTACGCCTTCTTTCTTTGCGTGAACATTTGGGCGGCGTTATGCAAATCTTCCCACATCGTGACGTAGACATGTGGGGGCATGTCAGAACGAGCCGTTTTAGGTAGGCGTGGTTGACTCTTAACTTTTATAAAGAATATCTCTTTGGATTTGAGACTTTAGTCTTTGCAACTTTACAGATCTTCTTTATGCACCAAGAGCTTGTAACACTCCAAAGAGAAAGGAACAATTGAAATCGCATCATATGACCCCTTTAAGTATGTTACGTATTATAACAAATACCTGCAGAGGGCGCCAACGGCCTGGTGAGTTTTCATTTTACAGCGTGATTCAACAATGTTTAAATGCATTTAATTTTTATATTTGGTCACATGCAAACTCAGAGCGAGGGTTAAAACTTTTTAACTTTTGAAATAGCGATGTTCAACAAATTGCATATCTAGAAATATGTTGATCTGGAAATATTCTCCTGTGTTTGCATAGGTTTAGAAATGATTTACATTACAAATCTAGTGAGATAACGAGCACTGTTTTCCCAGATGAACGTTAAGCACCCCAAACTCACAGCATATTCAGAGGAAGACTTTGTGGACTGAGCTTCTGAGATGAAGACGCGCTCACAAAGCGCATAATAAGCAAATAATGTGCGTTCCTAAATGAAACCCAAACAAACAGCACATGCCATAAAAGACAGAGTAATATAATACAAGCACTATTAAAGGTTTTACCCCAAAACCGACTTTATACTGATATCGCGAGACTGCTTTTCACCTCAAGGAGTTATATCGTGAGATCTTGTGCTCTCCCGGAAGCCAGGCTAAACGGCTCTGTATTTATATCAGATGCGCTGCATCGTAAATTTTGCGAGAAAATATTGTTTTTATCGAAAAAAACAAAAATTAACACTAATTTCATATATACTGCCTTTTAAACATTCAAGTACTTTCAAAGTACCTTTTCATAAATATGGCTGTTTTCAAGGGTTTTCCAGGACTTTTTACTCAAAAAGTAAACTTCATGTACTTCAATCCAGGGGTTTTCAACCCAGGGGGGCGCCAGCATCAGTTAATTCAGAGACGTTCCTTTGAGAATTTATGAATAGGAGTTAACAAATATTTAGCCATTCACTAGGGGGAATTCTAACTCCCACTGCTAGTCGACAGTTAGAGCAGAGTTGGCTCAAGTATCAGTCACACTCAGTGTTGCCAAGTCCGCGGTTTTCCAGCGGAATTGGCCTGCTTTAACACTTGCCGCGTTTTGTAGTTTTGGGCTAGTTTTGAGTAGCAATTAGGCGGGTTTTGTTGTGAAAACCTGGCAACGCTTATTGACAGTGTAAGATGATATACGATTAGCTGTGTCGGAAATCCAACCACGGATTGGCATGTTGTTATTTCAGAAACCGGCTCAGCCATCACATTGAATCAGGTAAACTGGTTATATATTTATGTTTCAGTATAATTACGCACGCTATACCAGGGGCGGTTCTAAACCCTATTTAGGTGGGTTTCAGCCCCCCTATCTGTCACCTTAGCCCCCCAAAACTATCTTAACGATCAGGCCAGTGCTGCTTCCTCGAGAAAGTTTTTCATTCTCACGTGTTTTAAGTCTTGTCAGTTTAAACATTAAAGTAATTTTAAGCCATTTAAGCCCAAGACATCTCAATGCGGTACTCACGCACTGTGATAGAGCGTTTCTATGCACACCTGAAGTGCACAAACAGATAGCCTTCTCAGACAGCAGGTGAATACCAATGGCTGTCTTGACAAGTATCCTTGTAAGCACAGTCGGTTGTTTTATGTGAATGTAAACAGTGAAGAAAATATCAAATGTACATATAACGGATCCATGCATTTCTTATGTAAATAATGTTAATCAAAAAGAGCAAAAGAAAAATTGTTCGCTGCTTTAATGGATATTTGCTTTTATGTTAATGTTAATAAAGTAATTCGGTGTGACTACAGTAATACCAGGGTTGTTGGATGTTGGGGGGGCGTGAGTGAAATTAGACAAACTTGGGGGGCGCATGTCCTAAAAGGTTGAAAACCCCTGCTATTATAAAACTATTTTTGGTGCAAGAAACCAGTGAACTTCAGGAGGAAAGAACAAAATGACTCTCCATTCCCACAAGCCTTCATCTCCTGTCTGATCCTCCTCTCCCTCTGTGATCCAGTGAGCACTGCTGAGCTGCTGGGAATCTTGGATTACAAAGAGGTTTTAGTTATCATGGAGAACAGCAGGAGGTCACTGCACTTTCTAATAACTGCAGATGGTGTTACCAAGAGGGACGACTCAGAAGTTCACGTAAACGGGCAGAAATCTTGCTCTTGTGCACTTATTTTTTTAAATTTAAATTTACACACACTACAGTCAATCCTGCTAAAATCCGGTTCGCTTTTTCATGCTTTCCTAGTTACACACATGCAGCAGCTTTCGCTGCCTGACTTATCAAAAGTTTTCTGTTCTTACTAAACTTGGATAAGCACTTACAAGTACTACATAAACCCCTAAATAAGTCCTATCCAGACTTTAGGCTACTGATCAAAGTCTTGTACACACTGCAGCTTATTCTGGTCAAGAATCACCCGCTTAGACAGAAAGAGGGCGTCTTTAACCGTCAAACACAGTTAGCTTTTCCTTAATGTGACATTTGGAGGCGGGTAAATCTGAAATCGGATGAAAACAAAGGTTGGCTTGTTCACTAAGTGTCTCAAAATGACAACTTTTGACTGTCTTTCAAAGATTCAATGTCAAAAACTTGAACAAATGCATGTTTAGTTCTTCCTGAAGCAGACCGGTAAGTTTGTTTCCCGGTGCACTGATATAAACCTGTGCACTCTGACTTTTGGAAATTGCGTCAAGCCAGGCAATCAGATTGGAGCTCAATGTTTGAAAAAGCACTTGACATTTTTTGTGTGCAATACGCAGACGGTCAGTAAACAGTCCATGGTCACGCTGTCTGAGCCTGAGACTACGTATGTCCCAAGTAAGCTCTCCACTTATGAAATACTGCATAGCACACCAACAAGCTGTGCAATGTAGGAAATTGAAAGGAGATTCTAGTGCACTGCTGTTTAGATGAATATGCCTGCAGAATATTAAAACACTCAACCATGAAATGTGTCAACCTGTTCCCTTGAAGCAAGACCAGAGAGTTTGTCTATATATAAAAAAAAAAAAAAATTGTTTAAAACTATAAACACAAGTTTTATACTCATCCTCACATCGTGCCAAACCACTAGTTACATTTTTCAAAAGAAAAATAGAGAATATTTTATTTTATTTGTGCTTAGTGAGAAACATAGTATAAAACATGCATTGATTATTTTTATGCATTTTATTTATTGCAAACATTTTGAATCCACGCTACCATTCAAATGTTTAGGGTTAGTACTTTTTTTTTTTTTTTTTCGAAATAAATTAATACTTTTATTAGGCAAGGGTGCATTAAAATGATCAAAAGTGACGGTAAAGTCTTATACGTTGTTACAAAAAAATTATATTTCATAAAAATGTTTTTTTCTTTTGAACTTTCAATTCATTACAGAATTCATTCCTTAAAAAAATATATCATAGTTTCCACAAAAATATTAAGCGGTTTTTAACATTGATAATAATAAGAAATGATTCTTGAGCATTAAATCAGCAAATTAGAATGATTTCTGAAGGATCATATTATAACTGAAATAAAATGAATAAAAACTATATAGACCTATTTAAATAAATTTAGTGACATAAATTGATTTATTCCATATTTAATAAATAAATAAATAAAATAACAAAAAGACAACAAAATTATTAAAAATTCAAATCAGAAAATAAAAATAAATAATGATTAATGAATGCCGAAAATTCAGCTTTGCATCACAGGAATAAATTACATTTTAAAATATATTCAAACTGAAAATATTTTAAATTGTAATAATATTTTAGGTTTTTTTTAATCAAATAAATGTAGCCTTGGTAAGTGTAAGTGACTCCTTTAAAAAACATTTAAAAAAGCTTGCAAGTTCAAAATTCTGAACAGTATTGTGCATAATGGTACACACTTGCTATGGTTATTTTGTTAAAAATTACCTACTAACTGTGATGGAAAAAAACATGTTAAATAACTAACATTCTACAAATGGCAGATGCTATGACTTAAAGTGCATTCAAATTATACATTTTATTAGTAGCAGTGTCCCTTGGGGACCAAACACCTTTTGCATTCCATAGGAAAAATTTGGTTCAGAAGACATGAAGGTGTGTAAATGGTGACAGAATTTTAATTTTATAGATTAACTATTGCTTTAGCGTTATATATGTGCTCTTGACGGTCAGAATGAACGCCTATTTGCACCTATAGAAGCCTCACCTCTGAAAATAGTCTGTCAATCAAGATTTGACAGACAGGTGTTCTTATGAAAATTTCATATGAGAGAACATAAGAGGAAAAATGCACAGCTGCCCACCGCACCACACACGTTTATTCTGATAACGAGTCAGACGAGCCGATGGAATGACAAAGAGGGGAAGAAAGGAAAACCAGCTCAGTGGAAGAACAAGTGGAAGATGTAACAGGCGTCACTCAACGTGACATCAGCACCCTCTAAAATTAAACCCCTGCGTACAGTGTTAAGCAATTACAATGACAAACTAGCAGAATGTGAATTCAATTAAATCACCAGTGAAATTCATGGAAATGTAAAAATTAGTACATCAAACAAATCTGAAAGTTAACCAAAGTGAAATGTGGTCAACTCGGCTCAGTTATAAAACTGCATATCTCCCTCTAGTGACGGCTCTCTGTAGTTCCTGTGATTCTGCACGATCTGTATAACGTGTCAGTTTTTCTTAACCCATCCTAATTTGATCTCCTTTGATGCCATATTAATATGGGAGTTCAGGGACTTCAGTGCAATCTGTTATTAACTAATGCACAAGTGGATTGTATCTGTACAGTAAATAAGCACACAAATAAATACGGAAGCAAACAAAAGCTCTATTTCTGGTTATGAAAAGCATGATTCTGGTTATTTCCAAAGGATTAAATCCACAGGATTATCCCTGTTTCCTTCCACTGGGCTGCCAGAAGATTAGGGATGTGGGTGGAAAACACAAATGCATAGCCATTGGCTTTAGGAAAAATGATACCTCAGTTGATGGCATTACATAGAAAATGTCTATATTTTACTCTTGGCCCCAACTTCAAAGGGACAGTGAACATATTCAATATCAGTTCACATGACGACTCTAAGAAAACAAGCGCAATGCTCTTAAGTTCTTACATGTATTGTAAACATTAATGAGACTTGTAACAAAGAAATGAGAGCTAACGAAGAAGTCATGATTTTCAGTGAATAGTTGAACATTTCACATAAAGCTACTGTATGACTTCAGAAGACTTGTATATGTAAAGCAACACTGACTAGTTTCATGGTGCTTTTTTGTCCATTTTGTCACCATACTCTTTCATGCTTTCAAAATAGCAGTTTGAAGCGCCATCTACCATAGCACAGATGAACAGCAAGAATAGTCTATACTAGCTTCCCCACTAACAAACAAACAAATAAATAAATAAAACAGCTATAATCCCATTAAAGATGGCACATTCAGACTTTTCAAAATAACATTAATGCATGCATGTTTGATGCATCAATGCCAGGGTTATTATCATTAACTTAAAACATTAAAAAAGAAAATTCCTTATTTGAAATAAAATAAACGTCAACTGAAACAAAATAAGATCTAAAACAACTTAAACGTATTAACTAAAACTCAAACCATAAAAAAAACATTACTTGAATTAAAATAAACATTAACTGAAATAAAATATAAAACAACCGAAACTTATTTTATATCATCTAGTTGCCAAAGCAACATTTCTTATTTTTGAAGTACTAAAATAAAGTAAATAAACTAAAACGTAATAAAAACTACATGGACATACATATATGGACATACATATATGGACATACACACACACACACACACACACACATACATACACACATATATACACATACATACATATACACATACACACACATACATACATACACACACACATACATGCATACACACACACATACATGCATACACACACACACACACATACACATACACATACACACACACACACACACACACACACACACACATAAAAAAAATTTAAACTAATGAAAAAGACCAAAACACAACAAAATTACTAAAATAAAACTTTTACTAAAATGACTATGAAATTAATATATATATATATTATTTAAAAAAAGATCAAATTATTAACAAAAACTTTAATAGTATATCAATGATGCTAATATACACTGATCTGTGAAAGTCTCTGCACACACACACACACACACACATAAAAAAAATTTAAACTAATGAAAAAGACCAAAACACAACAAAATTACTAAAATAAAACTTTTACTAAAATGACTATGAAATTAATATATATATATATTATTTAAAAAAAGATCAAATTATTAACAAAAACTTTAATAGTATATCAATGATGCTAATATACACTGATCTGTGAAAGTCTCTGCAGTACCTGAAGTTTGGGATCCCTGACGACGTGCTGATTCCAGCTCCTGAATGCACCACCATGTACTGCGACTCCCTGATCCACTGAGCCAGTGTCTCCACTTTAGCCTTCAGCTCCTCTGGACTGTAAAACACCTGCAAACACACACACACACACACACACACACACACACGATCAGACTCCTGACCTGCACTACGAACAGCCCAAATGCTGTCACACTAGTGAGTGGTCACTGGTCACATAAACAAATGTTCATAAACTATTTCAAATTACTCTTTTTTTTTTTTTTTTCAAATGACAGTGCACTATTTATATTGTACATATTATTTATTTTACACATACTTGTAAACCTGTATTTAGCTGAACTTAAACTTATACTAAGAGTTTTTGTGAATGCACAAGTGGTTTTCATTATGAATACATGACCTTAATAGAAATCACTTACAATCGAATACCTTCGTAACCTTTCAGAACTATTCAGCATCATCTATCTCCAGTGGGTATAGAAAAGAATCGCCCCCCTTTAAAATAATCACATTTTGTTGCTTTGCAGCCTGAAATGAAGACGGACACAGTTTTTGCTTCACCCTGCTGCACTTACTCAGTGGAACTTATAGCATCCAAATGAAAGATATAACACCAACATATCAGAATTAAAAAAAAAAAAAAAACAGAATCACAGTTGGAAAAAGTGTCAGTATTTTGTTGAACCACCTTTTGCCTTTTTGCTCTTTTCATGCTGAGTTAATCAAAATGAGCACAGATGATCACAGTTGCGAGTCAGTTGAGAAGGTAATTGAGAAGCTACGCCTGATTGAGTTTACAAGTCATTTTTAGGAGGGGGGTGATCCTTTTTCCATTGAGATGTATAGGTAGATTCCACATTCGACCACTCCAGACATGTTGATGCGTCCGTCCGCCATCTTGGAACGGTCGATATGTCGTCACTCACACTAAAAATCAATGAGTTTCATGGCGCAACAACATTGTGCAGCATCTGCTTGTAAAAACTGCCTAAACTTAAAAGTTCTGAACAAAGTGGACAAACTTTCAAAGGTAAGAATGTGTTAGTTTGTGTTTTTAATATGCATTAACTCAATATTACAGGTGTTTAAACTAAAGTCCCTTTTAAATGTCTTGTTAGCTAATGGCTTCCTCTTGTTGTATTTTGTTTGTTTAGAGAAAGCATCTGCCTAAGTCTACTGCAGATATAGATATTTATGCATGCATGCATAGCCTATAACTACAGTTGCAGACACACAGGGATCTTGCTCTCGAGTGTTCACGGACCGGCTTTGACTATTCCAATATGGCGGACAGCTTACGTATAGCGGCCCATAGAAACAGCCATTAATAGGGCAATTATCAATATAGACCTATACAACAGATCTGCAACTCAGTAATTTTTTTAATTTATTTTTTCTGACATGTTGGTGTTATATCTTTCACTTGGATGTTATAAGTTGCACTGAGTAAATACAGCGGGATAAAACAAAAACTGTGTCCGCCTTCATTTCAGGCTGCAAAGCAACAAAATGTGATTATTTTAAAGGGGGCTGATTCTTTTCTATACCCATTGTATCCATATGACAGTGCACTATTTATAAAATGCATATATTTTATACATACAAATATATAATATACATATTTATATAATAAATTGGCCCCCTTCCTGATTTCTTATTTTTTTTGCATGTTTGTCCCAATATAGACCTATACAACAGATCTGCAACTCAGTATTTTTTTTATTTATTTTTTCTGACATGTTGGTGTTATATCTTTCACTCGGATGTTATAAGTTGCACTGAGTAAATACAGCGGGATAAAACAAAAACTGTGTCCGCCTTCATTTCAGGCTGCAAAGCAACAAAATGTGATTATTTTAAAGGGGGCTGATTCTTTTCTATACCCTTTGTATCCATATGACAGTGCACTATTTATAAAATGCATATATTTTATACATACAAATATATAATATACATATTTATATAATAAATTGGCCCCCTTCCTGATTTCTTTTTTTTTTTTTGCATGTTTGTCACACTTTAATGTTTCAGATCAAACAAATTTAAATATTAGTAAAAGATAACACAACATGCAGTTTTTAAATGAAAGTTTTTATTAAGGGAAAACAAAATTCTAAACTACATGGCCCTGTGTGAAAAAGTGTTTGCCCCTAAACCTAATAACTGGTTGGGCCACCCTTAGCAGCAACAACTGCAATCAAGTGTTTGCGATCATTTCAGGCTGCAAAGCAACAAAATGTGATTATTTTAAAGGGGGCTGATTCTTTTCTATACCCATTGTATCCATATGACAGTGCACTATTTATAAAATGCATATATTTTATACATACAAATATATAATATACATTTATATAATAAATTGGCCCCCTTCCTGATTTCTTATTTTTTTTGCATGTTTGTCACACTTTAATGTTTCAGATCAAACAAATTTAAATATTAGTAAAAGATAACACAACATGCAGTTTTTAAATGAAAGTTTTTATTAAGGGAAAACAAAATTCTAAACTACATGGCCCTGTGTGAAGAAGTGTTTGCCCCTAAACCTAATAACTGGTTGGGCCACCCTTAGCAGCAACAACTGCAATCAAGTGTTTGCGATAACTTGCAGTGAGTCTGTTACAGCGCTGTGGAGGAATTTTGGTCCACTCATTTATGCAGAATTGTTGTAATTCAGCCACATTGGAGGGTTTTCGAGCATGAACCGCCTTTTTAAGGTCATGCCACAGCATCTCAATAGGATTCAGGTCAGGACTTTGACTAGGCCACTCCAAAGTCTTCATTTTGTTTTTCTTCAGCCATTCAGAGGTGGACTTGCTGGTGTGTTTTGGATCATTGTCCTGCTGCAGAACCCAAGTTCGCTTCAGCTTGAGGTCACGAACAGATGGCCGATTATTCTCCTTTAGGATTTTTTGGTAAACAGCAGAATTCATGGTTCTATTTATCACAGCAAGTCTTCCAGGTCCTGAAGCAGCAAAACAGCCCCAGACCATCACACTACCACCACCATATTTTACTGTTGGTATGATGTTCTTTTTCTGAAATGCAGTGCTACTTTTACGCCAGA